TTGTTTGATTACTGCGGAGGAAGATTTTACCATGTGACTTACTATCGACGTCAGCCGATCAGCTCGCCGTAACAATAAGCAATATGAAAGGTGCTATAAGTTTTCATATAATATTAAAGCTCAAAAATCAGACATTAGAACGGGGGTATTAGTATGGTTCTTCATATACCAACTGCAGATCAGGGTAAGATGATCAAAAGCATATTATAATTAGTATACCTAATTATAATAATAATACCATGTAAATTATAGACATATTAATATCTAAGTATATTATAATGATCAAACATCCATTGGAAGTACCAAATTTTTCAACCCCTAAAAGACTAGCAAAGTGTTTTGTGCTTTCTCTTAACCAAAACCAGATTTAGCAAATTGTCAAATTACTATTACATATGGAACTTTAGCCCAAAATTATGCCGAGATGTTCTGGCTAATACTAACTCACGAAACCAAGAAAACGACGTCTTGAATATAAGTAAAGAATATTACATCCAGTCTTTTTAACCGTTGGTTTCTTAACATTAATTATACGAGTTAACATTATAATTATAACAAGGATGGTAGTGAGTGGCACGCTTCGTACTAGTACAATGAATAGTTTATTTGTGGGAGTGTTGTTCGTATTCGTTGCAGTTTTGTCATGTTGTGAGTAAGGTATGTTCGTATGGGTGATTTTATGTTGTCAGTTTGTAATGGTTGTCATTGTTTGAGTGGTCAAAAATTCGCCCGAGTATTTACACGTAGATCATTGGTATTTATGGTTCGTTTGTATAATAATAAATAATTGAAATTTCGAATACCAATTTGGTGGTTTGATCATAGTGCTGTTGTTTGAATGAGGGGTGGTTATGATGGAACAATTTCTTCTTGAAAACCAATTTTTTTTTCTTCTTTGGAAATATTTATTGACTCCTTCCGCAAATGCATTTACCATGAACATGAAAAAACCATGTGCCTAATTTGTCTTATTGTCTTAAAATCGCCACATGCAAATTTTGCAGCTGCATCATTAAAAAGATCACGTTGACACCAGAATCCACGAACATGATCCTTTAAATATCGGGGTAAATCACAAGTTAAATGTCCACCTGATAACTCAACCATTCCTTGATGACGTGTAGTTTGTAAATTTGTAGCTATAATAGTAAATATAATAATAATTAGTAACGATAGATTATAATCTATATTCAGAATTATAGGGTAATAATTTACCGAGAGGGTATTGTTATTTAGTCCAGTTATTGCACCGAATACATCTATATCATCATTGAAATATCGCATTGGTGGCTGTCTCGAGCAAACTCCATTAGTTTGCCATAATCATCCTCTTCCTTCGTTGTGTTGATCTTGGCGCGCCGGTCTCTAGATAAACGATCTCATATTTCTTTGTACCCGTTTAATCGGAATCGATCGCTTTTCGCCCCTGGAATAGTCACACGATTACTTAATCATGACAAGTTTATTCCTGTTACTCTGGAAAATGATCCTCACGGCTATTTTGCTTCTATTTTTAGCCAGGGATTTTCCTCTCTCCCGACCAGATCGTCTCCCTTAAGTCAGAAAAAAAGTTTTCAGAATGCTTATTCTTAGTTATTAACACATATTCCAGAAAATTAAATATAAGCTTACAACACCCCAAATATAGTCTTCGTCATCGTCTCGTATACGTCTGAAAGCATCATACTCGTTACAAATTGTATGTACTTAAAATATGAGTATATCTTCTCGTCGAAATTAGACTTGCTCCATTCTGCTATAATCTTCAATTTCTCCTCCAATACATTATCCCCCTTCGCCTTCAAGACGTTTGTTATTTCTTCCAGTCATTTCGCCGACAGGTCATTTCACCTCATTTCATCGACAGTCATTTTTGTTGTATGTCAATTTGGAATAATATGTTGAATTAGATAAAAATTTTTATTCGCAATGTCAGTTATGTATTTTATGAGAGTTGCTTAACTCAAACTGCTAAGTGTTGTATGTCAATATTTATGTCAATTTAGAATTGCACATAACATTTTGCTTTAACAGCAAACGATAAATGTACATCTGTTCCTCAACTGAAAACTTTTGTTAATTAATGTATCAATCAGCAATTATTACATTAGCCGTTTGTATTAACGTGTTAAAATTTATGGCAACTGTAAAGTTTTATTCAAATTAGTTGTTTGGTCGTAAAAATTGCATTTACTTATAGTAAATTCGGTTCGCTGTTTGAAACTGAAATATTTTTTGATTAAACAGGTTGCGATCAAGACGTCTAGTATACTTTTCTGCATACATGCACTTCGTAAAGAAACGAGATATCGGCAAGGTTAAAGTTCCTACTAAGTAAGAATTTTATTAAGCTCTGATCTATTCCTTTCACTAATCTTTGTATAGTAAAACGTTGTACAGTAGATTTAAAGAATAGAACAAAGCACGTACATACAAAATTACTATTTTTGATTCTCAAGCATCCTATGTAAACTTTGAATATAAATAATGAATACATGACGGTTAGCAATTACAGTTTTGATAATTTATTTATAGTAACTTTATGCTCAATAGGTTGTATGTTATGTCAATTTGGAATAATATGTAGAGTAGAGGAAAGATATTTATTAATCAATGTCAAATACGTATGTAATATTAAAGTTGTTATAAAAAACGGTATATTGTACTAACTATTATAACAAATAAGTTGATTGAAACTTTTGCATTCAATTTTATGCTATTTTTGCAGTTTATCTCCAAATTTTATTTATTAGGAAGGCGAGTAAAAAGGGAGAAGAGAAGAAAAGAAGGATTACACGCCGTTTCCAAAAAAAAAAAAATAAAAAAAAAAAAACAAACCAAAAAAAACTAAATAAATAAAAAAAAAACTGTTATTAGTAGAGGGCTTGTTATATTATATTTATTAAATTTCTCTTTAAATATAAATTATAAGAAATGGAAGATCGAAAGAAAGAGCGGAGATCAAAGTGCAATCACTAAAGAAAAGAGTAATTAAACAAAGTGTGAGCAATTGGAAGAGAATTGAACAGTGAAGGGAAAGTGATTCGGAGGGTGGTTGGGAGGGTTCTTGATTGTTGAGTTGATGATTGACAACAAAAATTCGATTTTGAAAAATTACGCCAATCGGTATATGCAAATTCAAATCATGCTTAATAGTTGGTGCCAATTTTTTGCACATACTTGTCAGTAACAGATGTGTAGAGTTGTTAGTGATTGACGACGAAAATCGATTTCGCGATTTTGAAGAACTCCTCCAATCGGGTATATGCAAATTCAAGTCATGCTTAATAATTTTGACAATACTGTCGTGTAAATGCCACTCGCATACAATTCTTGGTTATTCTGGATTATGAACGAAAATTGATTCCGCGTTTCGAAAAATCGAGCCAAATTAAATCTGTAAATATAAATTGGCTAATTACTATGATTGGGAATCTTCTGAACCAGTTAAACAAGTGATCATCACACATTCAAACATACAGATGCCGATTAATCTTATAAACTATACTACCAAGAAAAACAAATCTAATTCTTAATATTAACCGAAATGCAACAGGAAAAACTCAACTCCAACAGCTACAACTGGTCTTCGACCTTACAGAGGTCGTAATCGTTTGGATAAGGCATTGGGCTACGATACCAGTTTCCCCGCTTCCGATTTTATTGATGACATTAATTTCATGAATTTCGATGTCCATGCAGATGCCACAGGTGTGTGATAATTTTTCTTTTCGGTGGGGGAAGTTGTGGTATTTGAAATTTTGATTGCCATGTGTGATTACTCGTAGTATACTAATTACTCGCACCGCGGCCTCCAAATTTCTTCGAAAATTCTGTGATGTGATTAGCCCTGATTTCTTCGAAAACTTTGATTGGCTCGTTACTAATCTGGAGTAATTCCAGTCACTCCAGTCCTAATTTCAT